ACCATCATCCACAACAAAAAAAGAGAATAGTCCCAGAGACATGGCCTGATTCACCAGCTAATGAGCCCGAGGGCACACATTAGCTGTTGGGCCCCATTTGTCCCCCCAGAAATCAGCCTTTTTGCATTGTGCATGTACAAAGCAGGTCTACTATGCTGCCGTAACAGAAGGTTTCTGTGCGTTGCTTTGTGATCATATTATTAAATACAACTTTATTTAGGAATCTGACCATGCAACCATGATAAAAAGTATAAATACACTTAATACACAACTTAAATAAATTATTAGCTTAAATAATAAAAGTCTAAATTTGGATTGTGACACAGGACCCGGCTACAATGTTAGCTAATAATGCAGGACCTGCCCCAGCTGATGTTGTCTTTTAGTGGCGCAAATTCCTGAACAAATGTGCAAGCATCAAATTACCCATGACCCACTGACATGGAATGAACCTGGAGCTTTTGGTTGTCCTGAGGGTCTGGGGATGAGTTTAAAACTGACATCATGGACATCATATTACATCACCAAGGCAAAAATCTAGATTTCCTGCATCATCAGTGCCTCTAATGAGAGGGAAAACCCCTCCTCAATACACACCCAACCAGGAGGTCAGAGGTCAAGGTCAACTACATAACAATGCCCCAAGAGCTGAAAGGGATTCTTAAATAAGGGCGCCTCAGCAGGGTTTTTTTGAGTGTGTGAATGTTATGTAGCATCCTGGAAGGCTGTTAATAATAGGGACGCCCAATGACTACCACCTGAAGGGGCCAAGGCTGCCTTCCTATTAGAATGTTCGGAAGAATTAGAAACAGATCCACGACATGATCTGATAGCGCTTCGGACAGTCTCCCCCAGGCTTGTTGCCATTTTTGTGGCCACTTTTCTGTTGCTATTTTTCATGGATGTAGCTAGATAGCTAGCTAGCTCTTAGTAATATAACATTCACATTCTTAATGCTGCCTTCAAAACTATTTGAGAATTCCTGGACAAATCGGAGATGTTGACGTGATTCAGAGGACACAGACTAACATTTCCCATAATGCCATGAACTGCATCTCTTTGAGATCCTCCCATGTCGTTCAGATTCCTCCCCCCTAGTTTGTAAGCTTTTCTGTTGTAAATTTGTGGTCTTCAAAGCCTAAGCTGAGATAACCTGATGACATCATCCAAGTTGTTTCTCAGACTTTTGAATTCTCCTCTGGAGCCACAGATGTTATTACACTACTGTTTTAACAGGCAGAACAGTACTTCCCATGGATAGTAAACTGATCTTTATGTCTTATCAAGGAGCTCCTATAAAGGAGAGATTAGATATGCCATAATATTTTCTTTGTCACGTTCCATTCTAGCCTCCACCAACGTACGAAGAAGCCCTTCTATAGTCCCTTGACCTGTAGATCTGCAGTCTAGGGGTGTTCACCTGTCAGGATCAATCCTCTAACCTCAGTGAAGACACACACAACCCCAGTCAACCATCCACAGTGATCCAGGGGCCGTCTTCCTCCCGGTGCCCGGCACAGAGCTCAGGGTTTCTGTTCATCTGATGGTCCGGGAGCTTGTTGCCAAGCCATAGCACAAAGAAGACGGCTACTGTTGTTAGAGCCAAGCAAGTAATGCTATCAGGGACAAGTAAAAACTTTCGGGAAAGGAATGCTTTTTGTTTTGAGGCAGAGCTGTTGATACATCTCAGTGATTCTGCTTGGAGGTATTCTCATGATAATGAGTCGGACTGAAGGCTGAGAATGGCATATCTCTGCAGTCCATGCAATTATTGGCAGGTTTTCATTGTATTATTCCAAGAATGGTATAATGGGGGGATGGATTTATAAGGGCTGTCAAATATGACAATATGACAAGACATTTTTTTTTACTGAAGCCTTTTCTTCAGTGTTTCTGAAACAGATTTTATACCAATTAAATCCCATGTGTTCAGCGTTTCCACCAGATGTAGAGTAAAGCAAGAAAACATTGACAGACTCTTTTCCTTGTTGGCATAGACAGAACCTCTGTAGAAGAACTGGAACTTTTGGGTTCTGTTCCAAAAGTGAGAAAACTCAAAATCCCATTGTCACAGGCAAATAAGTACAAATCCAGCATCGGAACAGAGCCTTGCTCAACAGTTCTTTGTGGGGTTTGCTCCATGACCCCAGGCAAGGACAGTAAATTTAAAAAACGAGTTAACATGCTGATGCTTAGCAGGCAAGATTTACCGTGTTTACCATCCTAGCTTGGTGTTAGCATCCTGACATTAGTTCTAAAAACACCATTGTAGTGGACAAATAGAAATTTTGACCCCTGGATGGTGCTAAATGAAAAGTAAGAGGATCACCAAAGTAATTACAGTTCAGCATGTGGGGGAGACATCTATTCAGAAGTTGTTGAGACATTTTACTCAAAACCATAGGTGTCAACCTCATGGTGGTGCTGGAGAAAAGGCGCCATTAAATTCAACTGAGAACAATGAATATCTGTGCAAAATTTCGTGCCATTCTATTAAGAAGATGCTGAGATATTTTACTGGATAGGCAAAAACTTTGACCTGCTGGTGACACTAGAGGGAAAGTCAAGGGGTCACCAAATGTAAGCACTACTTAACTAAGTTAATTGGTTATCCATTGCAGATTTTTGCCACGGACAGTGCTCGGGGACAGCCAGGCAATCATAAAGAACCGTGCATCCTGTTTGCATATCCTGTGAGCGTCAGTCACTGCCAAAGCAATCCCACCTAACCCAGTAACTACGACCTGTGATTGGGCTGTACTTCAGCAGAGAGCAAACAATAGGGTAAGAGCAAATGTTCCCGCCACAGTTTTCTATCTAAACCGCCTGTTTCAGAGTTTCAGACCAGAGCTGCAAGACACTGCTGCCAGAACTCATTTGACTATTTTCAGCCTGTTTTTAACCTTCAAAGCTTTTTGTTCCAGTTTCAAGATATTGTATAGTATGCATCCCATACAAACTCACTGTTACACTGTGATCATTTCATTTATTAGCAAATGTCTTTCGCACAGAGTTTCTACACAAATTTTCAGATAGCAAGATGAATGAGGTCAGCTATAAAACTCAAAAGGTTAAGCTCTCAAAGAGTTCTCTTTGACAAGACCAGGCATTGCTTAAACAGCAACTCTGTTTGGCCTGCACTCATCACCAGTGATATCACTTTGAGAGGTAGGCTAAAGTACGACAGCACAGGGTTACTCTTTAATCCAGATCAAGCAATGACAGAAAACACAAACTCACCACAACCAGAAAGCATTTCGGAGAGCTAGCCTGGACTGAGAACCAAGAATGTGGATCTCGCACAGTAGCCTGGAGATATTCAGTATCTTCATGACTCATTTGTATTTTTTTAAAGAGGGAAAAACATATACAGCATGGCAAAACAAAATCTATTTGCTTACACTTTTTATAGAAATATTCCTGTTTCTCCTCGGCGCATTATCCAGTCAGGCAGTGGAGTGCACAGTGACCCAAAAACAAAGATTTACCCTCCACCGTCAATCAGAACGCCACGTCCTCACATGCATCATTTGTTCTGCTTCATGACAGCGATCCAACTCCCATACGCTGTACCAGGCATTACCCACACTCCCTCTGCATTCCACAGGCCTCGGAAATCCAACTGTTCAAGTTTATTTCCTAATCCCTGTCGAAAGCTGTCTCAAATAAATTCTGACAAAATATCCTGCTCTTACCACTCACAACAGATTTTATACAGGGATTGTTCATATGAAGACCAAAGTCTGATCATGGGAGACAGGTAAGTACTCAAGTGAGTAATTGTAAACCATAGGGGGTTTATTTCTTCTGTAAATTCACATGAAGAAATAGACCTGCAGTGTCTATGTGTATCATCTCACATCTGTCCCACACGCCCCCCGTAAAGCACTTGAAAACATTTACTTCTCTGTAACGTAAAATGTTTGTGACCAAATAAGCAAAAATAAAAGTTAAAGTACAAACAACCATCCAGTGTGGTTTGATCGTCTCACACCAAGATTTCAAAATGGAAGAAGAAAAGAAGAAAATCCTCCCAGTAGTTTTTCCCATGCAATGATACATTCATAATGTAGAAGCGAGTCCCTAATATTAATAATATTAGTAGTAATATTTGGTTTTAGAGGCCTAATTGAGCCAATCTCTCCCTCCTCTCCCCTCACGAAGCTATCCAGGCTTCTGGCAGGTTTTTAATGACAGATACAAAATTGGAGATTTTATCTGACCATGGAATAAACTTGACATTTGACCTTTAATTAAAGGCTGTATTAAAGCTATATCGGCTTATTCTGTTTTTATTTGAGTGCCAACAAATACTGGTCCAATAGTTACCATGTATCTCAAAATGTTGTGATTTTGACTTAAGTGTGCGAGGGTTCAACTGTTGTTTCATAGACTGAAAAAAATCTCCATCTTCTTGAGCTAAATAAATTAAAAACCCCATTCTCTGAAAAATGCAACGTCAAAACGCTGAGAGAAAACAGAGCTGGTTCATTAGCTCATGAAAAGCTGAGGTTTTGAAGAGACGTGTTTTTTTGCAGTACAGTGATGCAAAACCTGCAGTCATTGTGCGACATCTTGTGGTCACTTTCTGGTATTGCACTTCTCAAACTTTTCTGTGGAGCACTTGAAAACTTGGTTACAAAACTTGATTAGCTGGCTTTTATTATATTGTGGCTAAATGAGCAACAATTACAGTTAAAGACATCCTCAGTGATAAATAACTACTATTGTGAGGTCTGCCCATGTGTCCATGATCCACGGTTTTACTCAATCCCTGGGGGCGTCGCACTACTTTATGTGGAAAATATAGCAAAACCAACTAATTTAAACACGTTTTCTGACCTTATTATAACTAATATGTAGAGTTTATTGGTAACACCTCCCTTTGCCACAAACGTGATGAACACAGAAGTGACGGGAACATTTGATTTGATTTTCTACAATGACCTTTCAAGCCCATTTCAGGATCATCCTCGACACAAATTCAAAGTCATTAAAGGTAGAGACTTTCACGTATAAAACTTTAATACAGTAAATACAGTACATATTCAGCATTACAGCAGTGGTACCTCAGGTTCTTGGTGGTAAGTATTCAGTGAACTTTAGGTATGTCAGTGAACAACTGCAGTGAAGGACACCAGCCAGTTATGAACTTCTAGCCTCACAGCCCTGAGGACAGTTTAAGCAGAGATTCACCAATAGCATGGACTACACTGGGATGATCTTCTGATTACATTTAGGAATCACTGACTGCTGATATTATGTACCTGTCAAACCTTCACTGGAAATGTTTTCCCTTATGCATTTTATTCCATGATGTTTTGTTTGTTTCATTTGTGACCGAGTTGAGAACTTCCAGCAGAGAGGGTCACATAAGACACAGGAAGCCAAGGAGACGCAGAGAGTCTGCAGATTTTCACCGACTCCTCTGTGCTCTCTGGCTGATAGTCTGCTGTTCACTTAGATCTCCGGGAATCTGATAAAGTGTCAATCAAAACAAATCCTTCCTGATCCTGGCCACCGCAAGAATACACGGGAAATAATGACCTCCCAGTCCGGTCCGGTCCGGTCAGTTTTAGACCATGTCCACCAGTTTAAACTTGCCCTCCTGTTTGACCGGCAGGACGTTGATGAAGGTCTTGTAGAGCACAGCTCCTTTCGGCAGCTTGGTGATGACCTGGGTGGCCTCGGGGCTGCGTGGTGGCGGGATGTAGACCTCCTTGGTGAACCTGACGTAGCCGTCCTCCATAGCGAAGAGCGTCTTGTTGGTACCCATCCCCACCTGTGGGACAGGGACGGGGGCAGGAGCACATGCAAGATGAGCACGCGCACATTTTCACTACATCAGATCAACACGTCGTTGATAGAGAAAGTGTAACTTACATGTGCTCCTGGGTGATACCTCATCAGTCTCTGTGTCGCAAGGATGTTACCCGCATGGACAAAGTTCCCTTGTGAACGAGTGAAAAGAGATGTCAGAGCTCCGAAATTCCTGTTATTATCATGTTTAGGCATTTAAATATCTGATCTACGTCACACATGTCGCTCTCAAAGATGGCATTTCAAAAAGAACCATTCAGAGCCCAAAGGATGCTAAAAGCCAGTACCCACCCCACCCCTGCCTCACCCTGCTGCTGTCTGGCAAGAGATACATAAGTATCTGCTGAGGTACCTCCAGACTACAGCAGCTTGTTTCCCCAGGCGCTGAAACTCTTAAATTCATCCTCAGCACACCACCATGTAAAATAATTAAATTTGAATGACTTATTAATGACCATTTACTCTAAATTATTTTGTTTTGTACACACAGAACTACAACTTCATTATACAACCCTGTGCTGTAAAATGAGGAATAAATAGAGCCTGTAACCTTGTATATTATACTAACAGCTTGTTTTGGTGTGTTCGCTTGTATGGTAAATTCACCCGACGTACTGCCGCTCGTTTATTGTTGCAGTATAATGGCGGCGCATAGTAGTTGGCTGAACATTTGTTACTGCTCGTGTTAATGTACAACAGTATATATTAAGGTGGTGTGGTCTTACAGCGGTTATTTTTTGTAGTTCTCCACACAATGTAAACCATGTTCATTACAGAATGAATTGATATCTTTACATGGATGTATAAAGTGCAGCACCCAGTGCTTTCCAGCTAATTTACACCATTAGTCTTAATACTGTATAGTATTAGCTGATTTACCATGATGCATTATTGTATATTTCAGTTTTTTATTGTTTTGTCCACCACATTTCCATCAATAAGGATGGGCTAAATAACAGAAAGCCCTCTATATAATGCAATACAGTCCATAAACGACACAGCAGACACAATAGTCAGCCTTACTTTTGAACATGTAGAATGGTGTTTCTAATCTAAACTAAGGCTGCGAAGCTGCTTCTCTCTTCACTGTGTTAGCATCCAGTTTTGACACCAACGACAGTACTGACATATCAACAAATACTGTAGTTTGAAAACTAAGAGATTACATTTAGCTGGGCCATACAGTGCTGCTACTTTGAAAATACCTTTTGGAATGCTGGGGACGAATAGCCACAGCACTTACAGGACGTGGTTTAAAAGGAATGCGTTATTACCATCCTGTTTCTTGAAGCCATATCTGCGGCCGGGGCTCTTTCCTCCGACGTTCTTACTGCTGCCACCAGCCTTCTTAGATGCGAGCCTCACACAGTCTATAAGAGAAGGCTGACCAGGCACCAGCAGGCCTGAAACCAGCAGGGAATTAAGGAATAAAACACACTGTAATACTCTTTATTGAAACTTTCATAGCACCATAATGTTTTTTTCTCGTACAGTGGAGGGTAGCACGGTGTACAGCGGGTCGGCTTAAATTCAAGGGTTGTTATTGTCGTAAGTCGGTGTGTCACGTGTCCCAAATTGACCATAAGTCAGTAACGTTAAATTAATTCTTTACGAACGTCTTAACTACATTGCTGACAAGCACTATGTTGTTTCATTCATCAGGTGTATGAGGTCTGAGAAGATTCTCCTGGCCATAGTTAACGTTATGACATTTAACTTGCTGATGTACACATTGAAAAGCTAGCGCAGCTAAGCTAGCATGTAAACCATCTTCTAATCACAGAAGGTGCGGCTAATAAAGAAACACAGTTCACGCGTCCTCCTGAAACTTTCAGCAGTCGAGCGAAGACAGTAAAAATTCTACTTTGTCTAAATACTTCATACCTGCTCTGGACTTGAGCATCAAGGACGCCAGCGCTGCCATCTTGAATGATGTCGATTGGCGTCACATCCGGATACTTTTGCTGCATTCAGGTTCCCCAAGAAAGATGCCTGACCGTAACAAGTCGCGGAAATACCGGTTACCATAAGCTTCCAAACGGTGGATAAATATCAACAAAAAAAGTAACATGCGCCAGCTTCATTTAAAAAAAGACTACAAACAAGATTTTAAGATTTGTTGACGGGCCAGGAAGACATATTCACTTCAAAAATGACTGTATTGATTTTAAAATGCCATGCTGCAGTACACAAATACATGACATTTAATTCATGTAATTGCGATTAATGGTTAACATTACTTTTAATTTTTTATATATAAAAAAATCATATTTGACGCATTATGATAAGGTTAAATGTTAACTATAATGTTAAAAGACGTTGGAAACGCCGGGTCGTTTCTTTTACCCTGAATGCAACATCACCTTGCAACCCGGGGAAATCAAACGAGCTCTCATGCAACATAGACACAAAACTTAACGTGATGTAAGTTGATCTAAATAAATAACGCCATGCCAGAACTAGTAGTTACCGCATAGAGCATGTATTTACCTAAATATCTTACTTCTTAATTAACTTACCTCTGTAGGCAAGATTTCGTAGAAAGCGAGTAGTCAATGCATATGTCACTTCCAGCTAACCGAACGTTTGCTACGCTTCTTTCTAGTGTAACTTTAACGTTAGCTGTTTAGTGCAAAGTAACTAAGCAGCGATCACTAACGTTATATATAGTAAGTGACTTGTGTATTTGGTCCTCCTTGGCCTGTTACTCCCGAACACTAGGCAGGAGGGTAACAGCAGTCTAGTTAGCAATAATTTGTGCTTTGTCAATCATCTTTTCGCCGAATTCAGTAAAAAGCTTGTGCTTTGTATGTATTATTTGTTGTGATCTGGCAGATAATAATATCTCTTGCTAACACACTAAGGAAAATAAATTTGACAGATTTCTGAACGAAGCTTGGTTGGCTGTCTTTTAGTAGAAGCAGAGACACTTCTGGGACTAAACAATAGTTTGTTCCTTGGTGATGCTATAATAATTCTGGTCTCATGTCTCCTATACAGTAACTTTTGCTTGGATGTGAAGAAAGATGGGCAGCTACAGTGACTCCACCAGTGACCTAGATGAGGAGTTGCCTGTGTTTGACTTCCTCCAGCCGGGTCGACATCTCAGCCAAGCCTCTCAGAGCCACACAGAGAAACCAGACTTGATCGACCTGGATGACTCTGGTGCAGAAGAGGCAGCCATCTCCTCCCCAGCAAACGGCAGTGCGGGCAAATGTACCGCTGATGTAATGATGCTCAGCAGCGAATCTGATGATGAAGCACCTTATGTCCCTCTGGCACAGAGACTCAAACAGAGACAAGACAATGTGATTAGCGCCTCCTCCACTGTCACTAATGGGAAAGGAGCTGAGCTGTATTCACCATCCAATCTGGCCAGTTCGCAGCTCTCTTGCCGGAACGGCTATTCAGAGTCAGAGCGCCCGCTCGGCTTCCATCAGGTGAGAACAGTGAACCACGGGGTCTCAGATGGCTCAGAGGAGCTGGCGGCTCTCCCTCAGCGATGGCTGTCTCAGAAGCCTCTCTCCGGTGCAGGAGGCACCGACACCTCTCCTGCCAAGAAGAAACCTGCCAAGCAGCCGGCGGAGGAGATCCAGGCCTCCAGGGAGGACGCTCTGTTGAGGAGGCAGGCCAGGGAGAGACAGCAGAGGGGCAAGGGGGCACTCAGGCAGGAACAAGAGAGACAGAAAGCAGAGAGGAAAGCTCTGGCGGAGGCTGCCAAGGCCCTTAGGCCGGAGGAGTGTATCAAGCACATGGTGGTGGCTGTGGATCCAGGTAAAGAGAAAACACAGAGTGACACTTGGTACAATCTGATAACAAAATCACTTTGAAGTCAGTCTTGCCCTGTGGGTGTAGATATATTAAAGATTATTTTATATTGCAAATAAAGCCTATGGATGCTTGTGGTATTGTGTTTTGAAGGCATTATTCAAGCTATGTCCTGGCTTTATTGTGGACTTTATTTTGGTAACTGTATTTGTGTTTGCAGCTCTCTTGCAGCTGGAAGGAGGCGGGACCCTGCTGGCGACGGTGCAGGCTCTGGGTTGTAGCTGTGCCATAGAGAAACAACCCCTCTCACGCAGTGTCAGCTGGATGAGGAGGGCTCCCTGTGCAGAGGTGATAACACACACACACACACACACACACACACACACACACACACACACACACACAATTTTCGTATTGCTGTGTTCTATTCAAGGTGAAGCATAAATATATACTTGTGACACCTTGCTGTAAGAGCCTTAAACAAATAAATAACAAAGCCAGTACACAACAATCATTTTTCAAATGAAATATTCAGCGATGCTTCATGGAATACCGCTCTCCTGTCTGCCCCCTCTGCATCTCAGTCAGGTGACGGAGTGTGCGTTCCAGAGGCCCATGTTGTGATGCAGATGACAGTTGATGATGTCGTCACTCTGATCCACAGCCACATTCAGGTTGGCGCGGCGGCAGCTGCTGCTGCTCGTCACAGTTTAACTAACAGCATCAACAGAGTGACTGATCTGGCTGCTTTTAAATGAGACCGGATGAAACTTTAATGAACCAAATGGGGTCATTGCAATAACAAACAGTAACAGGATAGATCAGGGGTTCTTAACCTTTCTGGCAGTCCGACCCCTTTTTGAGGTTGACATTATTTCACAACCCCCCCACCCCAAACACCACACACGCATACCCCTCCATCCTGCTTGCCTTCCTACCTATCAACATTAGCCAGCTAGCTCAACGTTGCCTTTTTTTAATTCTTATTCTTCTTTGTCGTTTTATAGCGGTTGCTTTTTATATACACTCTATGAGCGGTTGGCACCCAAAGTGATTCCATTCACAACTATAGTCCGTCTAGTTATTTTTTTTTCTATTTTGTGTCTATAGTAGCATTTTTACGACCCCCATGAGGTCCCAACCCCCAGGTTAAGAACCACTGGGTTAGAGCCATGAAAATAAAATTGAGATAGGAACCGAACCAATGGAGGAATATTAAATGGAACACAGAAAATTACATCCAAATATAGTAATAAGTAGAAGTATGTTAACTAGAAAATATGAGCGGCCATAAAATAAAAAGTAAAATATCGTAGTATATCACCTTCAGACAACAGCAATATTACATATCCACAGCCATTAGCTCTAGTGCAGTTCGCTCAGAGAGCAGGAGAAGGAGGAGTTTAGAGCCCATATTGCAGTCAGACTAAAGCTGTTTTTGAAATACTTTGTCTTGGTGGGCAGGGATTTATAGTGTCTCCCGGACAGTGACAGCTTCAACAGGCTGGGTGAGTGGGATCTGAGATCTGTCCTTGCCTCAAGTAAGTAAATGCTGAGACAAAGGACAGGATTGAGAGGGACTGGAGATATGTGTAAAATGAAAATATATCAAAACTATTATAGGAGAAGGCGTGTCCTATATTTCTATCCTATATTTTATCATTGTGAACTAATCTCATGAAAAGTCCTGGCTTCACTACCCTACCTGCTGTACTCAGCTCCAAGCCCACTGGTTCCTACTGAAGAAGTAAATCTTTAAAAACACCTCACAAATAGAGCTAAAACAAAAGCAGCTAAAACAGCTGAACACTGTAGTTTTTATTAAAGTCAAACAGGATAAAATAGTGCATTTGTTGGGGACTATTTTCAGCGGCAGATTCATCCACATTTAGTGCTTTAGTGAGTGTTTCTGGCAGCACTATGGTGTGTGTGTGTGTGGTACAGAGTCAAAATAAACAAGAGTGTGTGTGCTCATTGGGATGAAGAAACGTTTTACCCAGGACAACAGGGGGACTCATTGATGTGATTTTAATAATTTTTGTACTACAATGAAACTGTGGCACAGAGGAATAAGACACACATGCACACACATACATATATTTATTTATATATATATAATTTCTGCATGCAATAATCCATCTATATATCTATAGTGTCATTTCAGTTTCAACCATATTAAGTATTTCATATTCAACACATCTCTGTATAAATATACAATACATAATCTCCTGTTACACCAATATACTATCTGATGCAGGAAGAGAGGCTTGGTAGGTCTGGCTCTGGTCCCACTCTGACGTCCTGGGTACAGGAGCAGCAGAGGCGTCAGCCCGGCAAGATCCTCAGCCTGGTGGTACTCGACTTGGAGAAGTACTTCAGGTAGGGCAGGACAGTACACAAGGTACAAGGTACATGTATTTGTCATTTTACAACAGGGTTAACTAGGTTAATTGGTTGTTAACTAGGATCTGGAGCTGTTGGACATTTTAATTCAACCGTACTTAATTTTAGGGCCGCAAGTAGCAATTATACCCAATCAGGGTGAACTATTAATTTATTTGGATTCATTGTTTAGTTTATGATTTGAAATATCCCCATCATAATTTCCCAGAGCCCATGGTGACATGTTTAATTTCTTGTTTGTCCAAAACTCAATGATATTCAGATTGCAATGATATAGCAGCATATCCTCACACTGCAAAAGCAAGAATTTGTGCTTATTTTAATCATATATGATTTATCAGTTATCAAAAGTGTAGAGACCGCTGGTTTGAAACCCTGTTCCAGCATGAGCAAAAGAGACAACATAGGAGAAGAGGAAAGATCCAATCTCTAAAAAACTACCGCTGATGAACCCTTGAGGATGGCGCTGAATCACTCAGCTGCTGCAGCTCAGTTACTCAGTGTCTGACGGTAGACTGTTTGATTGGGTGGAGAGGGCAGAGGAGACAGTGTGAAGTATAGCATTCAATGAAATGTTAAAAAACAACAAGGAATGGCACTCAGATACTTTGTAAGCTAACCTTAACGCATCGGCTGCTGCTGTGGCGTGTGGGAACATGTCACCTATCACTGTCGGCAGAGTCTGGCGGCGCTCTGTGTGAGAAATATGTGTGAAGAGGGGAAATGGAGCAAAGGGAGCTGCCCAGCCACACTGTAAACTTTTTGTCCTCAGATCCCAGAAGTCAAAAAGCCAGAAGAGGTTTCGAGAG